GTCGCGGCGGGGCGAGGGGAGAAGAGGATGTGCGGGCGCGTGTGCCGTGCGGGGGCGGGACAGGGAGAGGCGACCCAAGGGGGTGGGTTTGGGATCATTTGTAGCGGCGCGGGGACCTGTCACTATACATGGCCATCTGTCGGGCAGGGTCGGGCTTCGGGCCGGGCCTATCAAAACCCGATGCAAAAAAACCCAGGCCCGAGCCCGGCCTGGCCTGCTGTCAGGCCTAAAAAGTCTGAGTCCATCCCATCATGTTAAAAGCCTGCCAGGCCTCTCTCTTAAACAACGAAAACGACAGACTCGACCGTCGGGCTCGAAATCTAGGCCCAGCCCGCGGGCAAGGTCAGATTGGGCTTTTTCAGGCCGTCCAGGCCAGACTGCACATACCATGCGACGACTGCATGCAGAAGCACGCCGAAACATCCTCGATGGGTATTCTTCAAATGTGAAAACAACGGGGTATGTTGTTGTTTTCATTCGACGTTGTCAGCCTATTTGGTTCAATTTCGATAGCTTATGGAGATCGTCATGTGTGTAGAAAGATGGATGCTCATTTTGGTTTTGAAAAAAAGAATATACATTTATTTATTGATAGAAAGAAACTTAATAGATGTTCGTGCACTCCTTAGTAGAATGGAGGTTAATGATGTGGCTGCATGTGAAATTAGAGAAGAAATTAGAAGGGGAGCAACATCTACTTCTTTAGAACCAAAAAAGAAGAATGCAAGATTAAGAATCCGCAAATCAATAACGAATGCATGAAAAAGACATTGGTCCAACTAGTGGGAGCAGTTATCGAAGTTGGATATCTTCTAAAATGCCTAATTGTGGTTCTTGTTTTCTTTTGTCTTGCTGTTCTAGCAAAGTTTTGGTGAATTATTATGTACTAGTAGAATGCCTGTGCGTTGCCACGGGCATTTAGAAAATAAAAAAATCTTACTGGCTCATTATTATCATGTTCTATTGAAAAAATATCTAAGTTTTAAGGTAATATGATATTCCTCATTGCAATTAGTGTCACTAAATTTCCCGATCCATCAACCATGGATAAGTATAAAAGTAAATGAATCTAAGTTAAGTGAAATAAGGAAGGATCAAATGAATGAACAAATGAACCGTGCACATGCCTTAATCACTTCTTCTCCACCTGAAAATGGAACCCAATCCAGTTTTTGCTGCAACATTGCATTGCTCCATGGGAACCGATCGGCCTTCTCACTCGTACTTAGGAACCCCATTTGGCCATTTCTTCCGCCGCCGGCCTCAACATCACCCCGGATATCTCTCGGCCAGCTTTGTCACGAAGCCAGGTCCACCATGTTTCACTGCATCTTACATTAGTCCTCAGGTAACATAAGAACTATTGTTCAAGCATGCATGCCCAGTGGCGGAGCTTGGGCCATATTCTAGGAGGGGCAATGGGCTGGGGGGGAGGGGGCGACCAGAGCAAGATTTTGGGCCGATTTTCACTAATATATGGGCCATCTATTATTGGGTAGTCAAAGAAAATCTCATGGGCTGGGGGACGATGGCCTAGGATGGCCCTCACTAAGCTCCGCCACTGTGCATACCAATCGCTAGATCAAGCACATCCAAACATTTGCAATCCACCACTTTTACACCCTCCCCTCTCTCCATGAGACGTCTCTGGTACCGCGTCAATGACACTCCCCTCATTTACACATCCAACATGGGTCCCCGCCCTTCACGGGAATCAACTCAATACTATAAGGGAAAACTAAAAGCCTGGAAACATTAAAAAATGCATCCATCCACAAAATAAGCTCTACTTCATGACAACCAATGATAAAAAATAATTATTATGATCACATCCAGTCTAATAGGAGATAATATGGGTTGCAAAATCCACACATCATGGCACAAGGCATTCTAGTTTTTTAAATACCACAATTATCATAACAATGAAAATAAAGCTAGGGATATTGAAAAATGTAAGATAGTAACGCTCTATCTCTCTCGTATTGTTTAATGGACAGGCAATATTGTTATCTTGAAGGAAAATCTGGCTTGAATGACTTCTTTGGCCATAGAAAGCGTTGGAGCTCCTTGAACCTACATATTGCACCCTTTGTGTTAGTCAAGATCGAAAAATAGCTAGACATGGGTAATCAGGAATGTACCTTTTAATCAAGTTATTTGCTTCATTGATGTCTGGGTTGTTGTATTATCCGAGACAACTTGTTGTAAAAGTATTAGCATTTGAAATTCAGTGTGAAAAAGCCTTAAAAGTAGTAGTAGACAACATAAAACACAATAGCAGGAAGCCAAAAGCAAAATAGTTAATCAGAGGCATGTTGCCTCCAGAAATCCCTAGGAAGAGACACTGGTCTTCTACCCCACATTACATATGTCAAAAGATACTATGCATAGTATTAACTCATTTAGTTATCCAGCTGACCAGATCAATTGTAAGCATTACGTGGTTCTTATTTCAGTGAAAAGGAATTCCGTTGAATAGTGAACTTAATTGGTATAAAAGAACTCTAATATGGATTGCGCTTAAACCGCAAAAGATTTTCTAGGAGCTCAGAATAAAATATGTGCAATAACTCACTAAAGATCTTCTATGTTCTTACTATTTGGGAATACCAACTCTTTGAGTAACAGAGTAATAATAGGACATTGCGCAGCTCAATTCATGCCATCTATAAGAAAGGCTACATCTATAAGAAAGGCTACATCAAGTAGTAGAATCTGCATGCCATGTGTGCTAACCTGGTCTGTGGGTTAAAGATATTGAACCCCTCTTATGTGTATGATGACCCTCTCAAACACCTGCAATCAAAAATAGATGAGACCCACCTATTAAGACTAAAAAAATGAAAGTTGAAACAAGTAAGGGCATTTGGGCATCGTACAGAAACACACTGACCAATCGCTTTGATTGAGGATCAAGAACAAAACATGAGAGCCTCTCCCATCAATTACCTCGACAGAAGCATAATACATCTCTGATTTGTCTAGCGCCTTCCACATTCATGCGGCTGAAAAACTCCCCGCTCCCTCCCGCCCCGTCTTGCGTTGATGAAGACTTAGGTTGAGCTTTGCTCCGCGGAGCACTCACTTTTGGTCAAGTACACGAACATCAGAAGGGGGGGATGTTGGAGATTAAGAGGAGATTGAGGGGAATGGATCCTCACATCAGTGAGGTGCACGGTGCATGTGCATATGTGCCGAGTTTGATCTGGCTACAAAAAAGGAGCATAACCATATGCCGAAGTAAAAGTAAAATGAACACGTATCTTATACCTAAATTATATCCTCTCCTTCCCTCAGTAAATAAATAATTATACTCTCCTGCATATCATCTCACAGGTGTTAAGAAGCTAGCATTTTTTGCTTATGCATTGGATCTAAAACTTAAATTATGTAAGAAGACCACAGTAAACAACAACCAAAAGATTTTTTAAGTCGTTCTTGCCTTCATTACCGTTTCTTCCGATGCTTCCAATTCCACACTTTTTCCTACAATACTGAAGCAGTCCTTAAACCCTGCAATATCAGCATAAAAATAAAATAAATAGAGGACAAACAAAAACGCAAAAATAAATAAATCGTTCCAACACTCAAAGCATGTTTAAATTATTTGTATCACACTGTATAGACTTACCCAAGAAATGTTGCATCCAAAAAACGATCAGAATACAAAACCATGTCACGCCTGATGCCGTGCCTTAGTTGTACGCTGGTGCCACCTCCTCCATATGTGGTGTTCGGTGGTGCATCAAGGGTGTGTGTGAGTTAATTATGTGTGAGTGGGGCATGTGTGCCGGCTAGGTGAGGTACTTGGTCTGAAACCTGTAAGTGAACAAAGGCAAATTTGAATTGATGAAATACAGTTCTGAATTCCTCCTCCTATGTTTCTCTTCTCTTCTTCCTCGGTCGGGAAAAAAGGAGAGGGACCTCACGCCGACCATCACAGCGGCAAGGGTTACCAAATCAAATTAAGTGTTATAATCCGGCAAGACGTGCATGTTAAGTTAAAGGCTTACCTGCCGTGATTGTTCCTTCGCTGGCTGGATATGGAAGTGGTGAATTTTCTCATCGGCTCGAAGCGCTCTAGCTCACACAAGCAGTGGCAGGCATGAGAAACCTGTCATGGTGCTCCTTACTTTGACTGGACTCGTCAAGTTCGCTATGAGTATGAACGTCCTGTGCGGCGACTGGACT